GCCTCAGAGCTTAGCAAAAAAAAAAAAATCAAGGAGATGCACAGTAGTTTGGTGGTGCTTGAGCTTTCAGGCCAGAAGAAGAAAATTAGCTCCACACCAGAATCCGGGCCATGAAACCGCTCCCAGAGGTAGATGCTACTCATTCCTTCCCATGAAGGAAGATACAGAGCCTGCTCCTATATCATTACCACACTGCCATGTGCTGCTCCACAGCTCAGGGTCATTAAGGACCCTCTACAACAAGGTCAGAAAACAAAAATTAGGGGGGGGCGGGGGGGGGGGAACGACAACACGACCCCACCCAGATTCTTAAAGGTTCTCATTGATGATGCATCCTCTGAGAACTGTCTGGATTGGACCAAGCTGGAAAACTGGGCAGAAAAATGTTGGTTGGTTTTTTTTTTTGTTGTGTTTTTTTTTTTTTTTTTTTTTAAGAAATCTCACCAGATTTGAGTATGAGCCAAGACACTGTCCTGCTCTGACATCACAGAATCTGGACGTGCTCACACAGAAGCAGAATAGTGAGGGGAGACCGTAACAGCACAAATGCAGTATCAACACAGAGATGACCGTACTTAATGCAACATAAAAGGATAGTGCCAACAATTCATAAAAAAAATACTTGCTTTCTCAGGAAACAGCCTCATTTTATGGTGAAAATAGCTACTGTTTACGGAAGATGAGAATTACATGTACATAATAATATTAATCTGATGTAAATTACATGGTAGGAAGTCTTTTGACTGGCATTGAAATTTTATGAAAGCAGCTAGTAAGAATGCTGGCTGGTGGGGAAAAAAAAAACCATTGAAAAAAAACCACACTGTTCTTAATTTAGGTTGTGCTGCGGTGTGAGGGGGGGGTGCCTCTGATTTCCAGTACTACTGTGGCTGAGTGAATGACTGGTAGCAATTACTCAACCTTAAAACTGAAGGTTTGGGGGCTTTTTTTCCCTAAAGAAACATATGGTCATCAAGTCTTTGATTAATAATTTCTACTAATGAAAGGTGATTGCTGGAACTTTTGCAGAAAACACAAAGAAATAGCCAAGACCATTATAAAATAATTTAGTTGATCCAAATACCTTCATTTTTTTTTCAGAGGGTCACTTAAGCCACCATGATTCTGATACTTCTGTACTTTTAAAAAAAAGGTCTTTGAGATAATAGAAATATGAAACAGATCAGGTTAATAAACAAGAATTCAGTTGGAAAATAAAGTTAGTCTTTGGAAGATTTAGATTCTAATTTTTTTTTTTTTTTTTTAGCTCCAATTTTCTGTGTCAGCCTGTAAAAGGCTCTAGCTTTTACTTTACAAGGGAGCTATTAAAAAAAAAAAAAAAAAAAAAAATCATCTTACTTGATGCTTTCAGGCTAGTAGCACCATTACTCACCATTATTGAGCAGCACATCAAGTTCATAGACTACAGCACTTCTGGGAATAACCCCTTTTCACACAGATAACTAAAAGAGGTCTT